TGTCGAAAACTTACAGAGCAATTTATTTTAGGGATTTATTTACACGCATAGTTAGTAATCTAGGATTAACGCCAAATGAACATCCGTATCGAAACACAAACTGCAACGCAAAATTACAACAGGATAGAAGTCAATTTTCCTTCCTCACATTAAGACCTGCAATAAATTGAACAAAACGTAATAATAAATCACCTTTTTAAAAAGTAATATACAATCTTTGGCTAGATATATATCATTTACAGTCATAGGCCGGTTTCGGGCAACTATAGAAAACAATCACAGATAATCGAGAATCGTCTTTATTATATTTTATTACAGACGTAGATTCTGTTCAGGCTGGTACTTCACAAGACTTTTCCCATTTTCCGTGTTTAGTGATTGCTCCTACAGGTTAAATTTCTGTTTTTGGTCATACCTTTTCTCTTGGTTGAAAGAGCACTCCATGGGCCTGTAGTAAACCCATTCAACTTTCGTATTATTTATCTGCTCACTGCAATTTAGACACTTTATCCATCATGTACTTTTCTGTGTGAATATGATTGGGCACACGTCTGTCCATCAATTGTCAATCCGTTCTCCCATCGGTTGTGATACACAGACAATCAATGATTTATCCGTACTTGATTTACACTCGAATATATATATATATGCATACATATATGGATTTTCAACACACACACTCTTGGTTTACCCTTTGTGCTTGCTTCCTGTACGCTTGAGGACTTTACCGGTAATTCACAATAAACTATCTCTGTAACTATTGTTCAGGCTTTTGAATAATCTCGAGTAAATCCATAATTCTACTAGAAGATTTAGCCTGCATTAAATAGTCGGTTAACGTGATATTATTTATTGGAGTCAGATGTAGGGGAAATTTGTAACTGCAGGCCCTTCTTCCATAATGATCTTTTCGATGTTTTTGTGCCACACCCAACTACGCTAATGCCAAATTGTAATAGCTCGATACATCCTCTTGAAGCTTCACAATAATGTAGGTTATCCATAATGTGTCTTGTTACATCGTGGGTGTTAGTACATTTGCTTTAAGCCTGATATCGCTTCCTGCCCATAGTAGATGTGGCACATGTACAGTCGACGTGTGGACGCTACCGCGATATGCCAGTAGACATTCGTTTGAAGCGATCCGGCTTCCTCCTGATTAGCAATTGTTTTTGGTAGTGTTTCGACGGTTCTATGAATTTGCTTAACAATCCCATTGCCTTCTGGATGGTAGGCAGTAGTTTGCGAATCTACCAAACTTGACACAATTCTTCAAAAAGTGTGCTCTCAATGTTGATACAAGCAACCGAACTGGCTCAAAACAACCAACACATGCTTCCTAAAAGAATCGCCTCACACCAATTTGTAAAGTGATCAACCACGACCAAACATACTTTTTTCCTCTGTTGGTTCCACGCAATATTCATGCATCTCAAAGGACACCCAACAAACCCTTAGCAATTGAATTACGAAGTGGCCGCTTCGTTCAGACTGCTGAAGGTCGTTTGAACGAAACGGCGGTTGACTTCGAGCGTATCTGACTTTTTATTTACTTTGTCATTGTTATCTTAAGTTCCTTTGGTTCGTCCACAAAGTATAGTCTTTTCATAATGACGTAGATGCAGTCACCAATTGTCTCAACTTAGATACTGGGTTTCGAAACTAAAACATACCAATTCAGATTTCATGAAATTGTACTTTTTTCTTGAACTACATTGTAAATACCTTAAGTTTCTTGGCACCACTTATACTATTACTACTCCTACTATGCATACATTTGTCTGCGATAAAGTGGTGTTGCGACTTCAAACAGTACACAAATGTGCCAGGTTCAACAATGCGTACGCATTGTTGGCTGTCTTGTGAACATTTGCCAAAACCTATGGTACGCAGAAAGGTTAGTCCACTCAGTTGAAGCAAAAATCATAATAGATCCAAGTTTAGTTAGTTGAAGCACGCATGTGAGCAAAATCATAAGGTTCTCGGTGTGTCCGTTCACCTTAGGATTTTGAGGAGTAGAATTATGCGTAGTCCTTCATTCTGGTCCGGTTAACTGTTGGTAAATGAGCTTACAGGTAGCGCATTTACTCCGATGAGTTAACCCAAACACTACTAAAGTCATTTGACTTGTTCGACTTAGGGGACGATAAAATGGATTTTGGATTATAGACAAAATTACAAGTAACGTGATTTCAACGTTAATCAATCAAGTGGTCGTATCTAGGTGACTACCTCATCACTTTAATTACTACAAGAATTGGTTAAAGTATGCTTCACCCGGCAACAATTAACCATACAAGGGATAATCTTGTCTATTATTTGGATTTCAGTAACTGGTCCTAGTGGGAGGAGTCCAACTACTGCATTAGTATCATAACCGCTTACTCGTTTTGATCTTTTAAATACTATATCCACACCAGATTCACAACTTTTTTTGTCAGCATGAAAATTTTTTGTTCGTTTTTTCATGTAGTCGAGTTATTTTAAATTTTGATGTCATACGTATGACACCATAATAACATCACTCAACCGTTCCCTCAACAGTTTTTCCAATAGTCTCAGGCTTCTTAAATATACTTCTTCTTAGGAACCGATTTGTCGTGCCTTAATCTCCGTCATCTGAATACTAACTAAATGCCTAGGTACAACAAGTCAAGAGTTCTCATCTATTTCCGCTAGAATCCATGCTACCTTATGATCTCAAAATGTCGTAGACTTTGGAGCTTACTAACAGCAGTAAATGTTTATGCACTGTCTTGACGTTTGTTTCTGGTGACCTGAGGAACTCAGTATTTTTACCATCTGTTTATTATTGGGCAAGCGACTGTGAATTACTCGAAGTATCTATCCAGTTTAAACAATTTAGGAACAAAACTGTATCATAATAAGGACAACCTATGTCCGCACGTTTTGGAATTCGGTACAATTTAACTTAGGGTCTCATGTCGGTGAGTTATGTGCAACGTAGTGTTTGACACATGTTCATCGGTCCAATTTGCCATACCGCATTAGCACAGATAAAATTATCAATACAAAGCATTTCGTTTAAACACAAAAGCGTTGGTACGAATGGCCATCAATACAAACCTCATAGTAGAAGTAGTCGTACCAGTATTAGTAAAAGGATTTGATATAGAAGAAAAAAGTTGTAAAGAGATTTGAGACTCAAGTTCCAAGGGAAGACAGAGTAAATTGACCTGCACCATTGCGAACGATTTTAAATTGTGCCCAACCATTGCTAGGATAATCACGCGGACCTCACTCAGTTAGCGTGCACCTACTAAGAGGGTTCAATCCAATTACCAATGGCTTGATGGATTGGTGGCATATCTTGGTTTGGCCGCCTCTATCTGCCTCCCAGTCTACTCCTTCCTACGCCAGACAGCGTCACTCGTCGAGGTAAATGGTAGTTGAGTATACGTAACATGTCTTAGCCACCTTAATTGATGCAAATTCACTATCTTATTGAATCGTTTACCATTTTTATCTGGTAGCGTATACCTTACCTCAACGTTGCTCAATCGGTTGTCCAAAAATATGCGAGGAATGTTTCGAAAAAAACCTGTAATCGAATACAAGTAACCTACGAATAAATATTCCTAATGACCATGTTCCATTCTCATAACAGAGCAAAATGCTGTACAGTAAATGTGTTCTTTGGTTGGGAAACAGACTTCTTGGCTATACTGCAAGTGACAAGTTTATCTACAAACCAGTCGAGGTTTGGGAACCTGTGTTCAGGTTTCGTTAGACACCAAACCTTCAAGATTGATGAGACTGCCAAGACAAGTGAAGCGATGGACACACTCAACTAATTCGCTTCCTATCCTTATTTTAGGTGTTGACACAGGTCAGTCCTGTAGCAATATTTTGTATTTACAGTGAGAGAGTCCCATTTCAAATATACTCACATTATTGCTCAAGGCAATCAAAGAACCTAATAAATTTTCATATACCACTTTCGTATCGGTTTAAATGAAAAAACAAGTTTGGTATGTATGCATGATGTTCGGACGCACTTCAGCTATTATGACTTGAAAAGTTGGATATTGTAAAGTAGTGGTTAACATTCAATAGAAAGTGATAATTTGTAAGATGCTCAGAAAATGTTTTGGCAATGAAAATAATGTGTTCATAAATACAACTAGTATTTAGTCCAAAAATATCACAACAAACATTGATATAACAGGTAAATTCAAATTAGTCTTCAAGTTGTCCAACGAATATAGATTTTTCGGCGTGTGGCAAAAATTTCCGACAAGAAATGTCGGAGTTAGGTTTATAGTTCTCATCATGGGGTGTAAGACAATCTATTTGTTTGGAGACGTAATCTATTACAGCATGCGTGGTACATACTAAGTCACCACATGGTGCTACTGGTGAGGACCGATTTCATAAAATACTCAAGACATCCAAAAAAAATATTTGAAGAAGTCTAAGGCTTTATTCACAGTTCTGTTGGGACTTTCCAAGCTAGGTATCCCAAAATAAAACCAGTAGCTATACACCATAGGTGACATGACCCATACACAACGGTTACTATCCATTAAATTTCGCCTTTCAAAAATTATAGTTTGGTTTCAATGTAATTCACAAACTATGGGTTTATGTACTCGGTTTCGAGCCACAATTCGTATAAAAGCTAGTGACACTAACCCGCTTGCCAAAGCAGTGAGTTTTCAACCTAGAGTTTACTAGTTATAATTCTATGGGTTTAATCACAAAGCCACCACTTACCATTGGGGAATACTAGACGGGAATTTCGTTTCAGCGTGAGACCCTTCAGAATTGTTCCAAAGAGACCGGACATTTCTTCATTTCAGTTAGCACATACTACTTTTTATTTGTTCATCATAACTTTCCTCCATTTTTGTTGATTGAAACAGGTGGATGGAACTGTTATAAAAAACAGAAAAACGACAGTCCAGTTGTTTTTTACTGCATATCATTATTCAGTCCAATTTTCCCTTTAGAATACTGAAGGGAGAAAATTCCTTGACATGCAGAAAGAATCTAGTGAAGATGTTGATACGCAGAACGTCAAGTATACTCCTTGCAAATAGTGTGTCTAAATTACTTAGTGTGCGTAAACCCTATAAAAAACGCCAAAAAGCAAAGAAGTCTCGAGATGTACTTAACAGTTTACAGGATGATGCTTCGAAGACTTCAATCAATTCTCAAATTTATTCGACTAAGAGAATAGAATTTGATGACTTTGGAGAGATAAAAAGTTTATACGCTGCAGATAACTGGGATGTAGGTAGATTTCCACGTTTAAAGGTGATTCCCAGCTTTCTGATTGTACTCGCAGGTCGAAAAAGCGTTCAGGATACGTCACTTTTACAAACATATGTGCCGAACAGAGATTTACACCGAAATCTGGAGTCTCAAACCTTGAGAATACTGATATATCCCACACTTCAGAAGATGAGTTAGAATCCGTACGTGAAATACCGATCAAACATGAAAAGAATCAGCATTTAGAAGTGACAATCTACAGTTTTCCTGTATGTTTAGCTTCTATTCGTACTATTGTAGAATAACTATGAGACTGTTGTGAAGTATTGGTATGATACGTTTCAGAAACTTCATTTACTCACCAGAATAACTAAAAACCAGGTGAGTTCTATTTGCTAACTGATTTTAACCATAATATGTTTTTTACGCTTGAGTAATGTAACTTTTCGTGTTGTTAACGCTAACCTGTTTTCCGATTGGTCTTTCAGGAAGGTGCCAATAATTATTGTTCAGTAATTGAACAAATACCTTTATTCACTGCAACTGAAAGAGCGTCAAATAACACATCATTACATGAGTACGTTTTTTCTGCCTAAAATTATGATTAATCACCGTGTGGTTCAATAACCATCTTTTAATCTCATGAATATTATTTTGTAATATTTCATTTTTATTCACATGAAGTATAATTTGACACTTAAAGCCCCTTGATAAGAGTCCTTAGAAAGTATTTTTATGTATAAACCCTCTGGTCTTTTTTGTTCAATTCCGCGAAAATCAACTCTATTATTTCAGTATAAATATTGTGAGGTACATTTTGATTAAGTACATATTTTCGGTAATTTCTAACAAGGGTTTACAATTACGGTAAAAATAATTCAGTAGGGGTATTTAAACCGTTGTGGTTAACAGAATTAAACAGCGGTAAAGATTATAAATAAAAATATATTTGTAATATCCGAATGAGTAGAAAAATTAGATTTTCTGACGTTTCGTGACTCAGTGTAAACCATTTCAGAGAAAAAATGACCAAATCAAAATTAACCCAAGTTTAAAACAACGTTAAAGATTACAATAAAATCGTTCAAGTGTTGATTTGGTCGTTGTAGTTTGCTAGTCATTTATTTATGTGTATACGGCGTAAAGAAAAAGAATCATTAAATGCCTTGGTGCGGCCGAGGGTAGGGAGAGTCAGCTCTCCCTCTCCAAATGCTCTCATATGGCCACGCGTATACAGCCACTGCCAAGGAAGTCCTACTCACTGTTTTCTCGTGGTGGGGTTGTTTACGAAATTGAGAGGACGAAATGCGAATGTCCGGCGCTTCAACCGGGTTTGCGGACACGGTGAGTCCATCTAGGGGAGTTGGAAAACCCTGTTTACAATCCAATGGTGCACATGGGCTCCAGTTTCCTGAAGGAACAAATGGCGTATGAACCAGTCGTTGGTCGCCGGACTTGCGGCGTAGCGAATGATTCTGAGCTACTTCACCCAGTCTCCACTGGTTACGATAATCACTCAGACCCCAACCAGGTAGTATGTAGATACCTACATGGGTCAGTTTAACTGTTATTGTTTTCATGGACTGATGATGCATCTTAGTTTGGCTGCAATAGCTTTCTTAGGACTTACTCCTATGCCACTAATTGTCGCGTGTCGAGGTAGTCTGTGAATGAACTTGCGTAAACCTGCTTCGGTCTGGGCCCTCTGGCAGTATCACAGCCCACACACAAATCAAGTGACTTGTGTGGTGTATATGTATTCGGTGCCCCTTTGTACTAATATAAGTGGATACAATTTGAGTAGGCAGAAAGCTCCAACGAACGCCAATTTCTGTTATTAACTCGGGTGATAGGTCGATGTGTAAAGTAAAACTGAACCAGGAAAAGTTTTATCCTGTCGTTGTATATTATGTGACCAATTGAGCATGCATCGCTTTGTGTTTTAGGGTGAATACGTTACTAGAGAGTCACGGATGTTTCAATCATTAAAATCGGGTTGCCATATACTTGATTACTTCACTTTACAGAATATTTCACAACACTTCTAAGCCTATTTTTTCTATCTATTTTCAAAATACAACACCTAATGTAAATTAGGTATACTGAGCATTACAAACATTCAGTAGAAACCAAGGAATTATGAAGAAAGTACGAATCCAGACAGAAACTGGCAAAATTACAATGACTTACTAGTGATTCCAACTCGTGATATAGATGTGTATTAAACCATGACACTATCAATTAAAGTGGATTATTATCAAATATAAGATCTATGTATGAACTATACCTTGTGAAAGTAGCCAGAAAGTCACATTATCCTGTAGAATTGTTATTTATCGGTATCATATATTTTTGCAGAGAACAAATGGAAAACTGTCAATAACAATATGGTTTTTTCCGAGACCGGTCTTCCGAATAGGCCTCTAAAATATTGGAAGCGAATACACTCATTTGCAGAAATCTGGAGACAAATAGATTTAAATGTAATACTTCATGCTCTGTCGTTTTGAAGTTTTATTACTTTTTTCAATGTGTTCTTGTTAATTGTTAGTTACTTCACCGTTTCTCTTTGGTGTAGAATCATTAAGCTGAATATTGGGTTGTACTGTTAGTGGCAACAAGTTTGGGATCTATCTTCGGTTTTTTCTAAATGCCCTTTGGTTAGTGGCTGTTGAGTATGTCCAAATCACCGTGGTTTTACCAGTAATTATGCCTATAGTCAGTATCTGAGAACAGACTTCGTGCTATCCCACGTAATGTTTTTGTATCAGTTTGTTACGTGATATAAGTTATTCGCTACAGCTTAATCCTTTGATGAATGAAGCCAAAACGCTATAAAGCTAGCTGGAATCAAATGGGTTTTGTCGGTCATGATACTATCCAGGAGATCGATTAGATTTGGTTGACAGAAAAACGAGGTGTTAATAACTTTGTAATAGATCAAACTTCCTCTCTGACAACTGACGGAAAGAATCTGGTGACCACGGAATTTTCTTTCGGATATGAAACGCCTAGATGTCACATTTTGGTCTTCACTCTTCAACTACCTAAGGAAATGCGTTAACACATCCATCATGTTACACAAAACAAAATTTTTCCCATATTTGACAGTGCCTAATTCTAGATTCGGATCATCAGGGATCTGATGCGATGGAGTTAAGTAAGCTACATAATCAACTTCTGGTACCTTGTACACTAACAACTCATATGAGTAGAATTAGTATTTGATACAGACAACATCGGTCGAGAGGTAATAGCGTTTTTTTTCGAATATGCAATCAGATAAGCCCAAATTGTAAAGCTATGGGAAGTTAGGCTTAAACAGACGGAGTATGCCTCCTGAGGGTTACGAAAATGTCATTATTACTTCATCGTTTATCGCTAGACAGTTAATTACAAAAGAAAACTTGGGAATGATCATGTTTAGAATTGCTGTTAAACTGCTTATTTCGTAATACCGTTTTCACAAGGTAATCGTTTGTTTGCGTTTCACCTCACTGGTTTTAAACTGGAATATATGACAGACCGTTCTTTCCCAAAGCAGTGCCTGCAGTGACGCTTTATAATGTCCAGTTGGTAGTTGACTACCCTCGACCTCGCTTCTGCATTTTTAGCAAAGCATTCAAGCGCTTCCCGTCAGGAAAATACCCCTTAAGAGATGTTGCAACCTAGGACAATATTCCTTTCGACCTCAACTTTACGGAGATCAGTTTGAGTTCTGAGTATTTTTTGCTGCGAACTGGTATAAGCTAAAGATTTATTTAAATTAAGTATTTTAGAGATGCTTCCTGGGTTGGAACTTTTTTATGATAAGAATTTATGGCAACGTCAAGGATCAAACCCGGCCTCCAGACCTAAGACAACATATTGCATCTTGACTATTAAGTTGAGTGGCCGACATTTTTGACTTCATTTAATTTGTGAAATAGTGCATCAGTTGTCAGTACGAAACTGTTTAATCCCCAAAACAGCTAACCTCCACCGGTCATAACTTTGCACACGAATACATATAAACACATTGTTCTAATCGTACTGGAATACGTTCCTAGAAACTCAATTTACTTTAAGTTCATTGAATATAATTCTCTTCTATTTATTACTAAGTCGGTCATGTGTTTTTGTCATTTAAAAGGGTTGGGAATAAACATCAAGACCTAAGGCCTAAACACAGGGAAATCTTTGTTATCAAAGTAGCAGTACAAGATCTGTTTGGTAAGTAATATCGTAACGACTAATTGTATAAGTAGATATTCACAAAGTCAAACGACCGTAATTTACTTATTTAGCTATCTAATAATAAATCATAGGAAGTACTGTTTCCAAACTACCATTCAGTTATTGTTAAAGAACAATACCTTTTTTCAATATCAAGGTTTGCGTTTCTTTCAGTACACAGTACTGATTCGTATTTCTTTCCAAGTCGTGTTGCTATTAACAGAGTAAGAGTATATGATTCACAGACCACCAAAAACTACTCGCTCTTTCAAAAAGTTTATCTGAACTCCTTATTTAGTTAAATAGAGGGAAAGGATCTGATCCAAAACCAAGGCAACAAATGAGTTGTTAAGCATTTGAGCTTAATGAAAATATAAGCAGATCTACACACTTACTTTCTTACCTTTCCGTGTTAACTCGCTTACCAGTATACTAAATTTACGACAATAAGTTTTGACATTGTTCTCATTTTTATGCTTTACATACATCAGGCAAAAGAGGCTCCAATACGCAACTATTACTTTTAAGATTCCAGTAGGCTTTTGGTTTGGTTGGTATGTATGGAAGATCTACGGTGCCCAATTTTATGGTCATTCTTATTTTTGACAAAGTAATCAAATCCATGATGTGCTGACTAAAATTTGTCTTCAAAAGCAAGTACCAGTAAAATTAGATCAGTGGTTAGATTAGTCGGATTTTGCGTCCAAGCTACTCATTTGGTTAAGGAATCTAGCTAACCTCACTAGCCTGAAGCCACACATGAGCATGCACTTAATTGCGTTGTGTTCCAATAATATCTGTCGTAACTAATGATTTAATATACTATTTAAGTATTGAGCTATAGAAAGTCCAAAACCCTGGCAGAGCAGTTTACGCCATTGGCTGCTTCCAATGTTTTTTTTATAGGTAACACTATGTAAAGGCCTTTACTATTACACACAAATGGTGAGTAATCAATGGGAAAAGAATAGCATGTCAGCCATCTGGAAAATGTATCTAATTTTACAAGAAACTTTAATTACACGTAATATACACTGTACAATGAAGCAAAGTTCCTAGAAATTTACTGGACGGAAATGAGTTCGGGGGGCATATGTCCTGAGTTTCCTAACCATCTCAACGTAACGCGCCCATCAGGTCGGACGACAAGCCACGTTATACTGCCGTGATCAAGGGAAAACCTTATCCAAGCTTCAGGTGGAAACTGTAGAGCTCTACAAACAAAATAGCGAATAACATTTGCATGGCACACAAACACTTCATATGTGTCGGCTTCTTGTTTCACATCTGCACGGTGTATATGTCTTTGGAATGCAAGTTCAATGCGGGAGCCGTCTTCTTCTATGTCTTTTGGTGTGGGTTGGTAATATACGAGGGGTGGTTCCAGAACGTAAGGAGCACCCTCGCGTAATGCGTCTGATGGTTCTGCCTGAACATCGGGAAGGTGATTTAACACCAACTCAGCTGATTCGACAGCACGCGTCATCGTGGAGTAGTATAATTTCCTATATGGGAAATTGAGTTCTCGTAAACGCATTCCAGTACATTCCAGTTGCTGGCGTCCAAGCCCTGTCAGGTGACAGTCAGAATCTTCTTTCGCATAATGATATTGGCCATGGCGAATAAATAGAAGGTGTCGTGTACACTTTGGTTTTGGTGTCACTATTTCATTCTGTAAAGAGGCATCCGTCCTAATATTGGGGGGATTCCTTCCGTCCCAGTCCCAGTTCCATGGCTTTATACTGATATTTTCACTACAGATAGCACGAGCACTTAGTATTGATGGAAATCTTTTATTGATGCTGGCTGCTAAACTTTTCAACTGGCCAAAAAATGGTAGAGCCTGATCACCTTTACTCCAATCGGCGGACCATGCTGCTTTAGCCCCGAATAACGCTGTGCCAGTGACGCAACAACCGAGACGTACTACACGACTGAATGACATATTAGAGTGCAATCTATTACGATGTTGCTAAATCCCTACCATACTGTAACGACGCGCGCCATTTTGATTTGTGGACACAATATTATTCAAAGTACCTTTAACTTTGATGTGAACAAACAGTTTCAGTAGTACTTATGTTGGACAAAACTAAGGATTACGGAATACACTTAAGAGAACTTGATGCTATTTTTTGCTCACATCATTCGTTACAGAAATATACAACTAAAAATTAACTTCCAACAACAAGTAAAGTCTAGTCTGACAAGATTACATAAGAATGGTGTCAGATAAAATGTCGCACCTACAGTTCGGCAATTAAGTCTTGTTTTGATAATTTTGAAAGACTGTGGAGAGTCGGGATGTATTCAATAAACCACAGAAGGGAAACAATTGAGTTAGTACATCTGTTTGTCAATGAACAATCTACGAGTGACATACAGCATTTTAGATATAGTTACGTTTAGTTAACGGTTAATTCTCATTCTCCTGAGTAAACATTCTGCAAGGGATTTGGTTCAGGCTCTTAAGTTGAATGAGTTTGGTATTTTATGATTAGTGTAAAAGTATATAATTCCACCGAACAGGATCATGTAGGTCTTCGACATTGGTATTGACTTCATGAGTCTTACGGGAGGCACCTAACTGAAGAAACTGTGTCACGAATGTGTACTATATCACTAGTGGGTACATCGCTCTACACACCCCTTTCAACCACTAACCAGTTTATACCAAACGCTTCACAACATATCGATAGCTTTTGAAATACATCTTCGAACCCTTTCATTTCTGACTTCTGATTTGACTCGGTTGATCTGCTTCATTCATAAAGTTGTTATGTGTAAAGGTGTTGTCAAGCTCCGAGTACTATTGACATCTTAGGCTGTGAGACGGACATGTTCTTGTATACCAAACAAAAGGTGTTGCGTGTAAAGGCGACAAACTGTGAACATTCGTGGCATCTTTTCTGGTAAGGAAGTGCTGACGTGTTTATGGAAGATAAATGGAAGTACTTTTAAATACTTAAACTAAATCTCTAGTAAAAGTGCACCAGTTAATGAGTAACTGGAAAGTTCTCGATAAATCCAGGGTATTGCACACCTGGCTCTGAAAAATAAGTGCACATCCTAGGATAATAAAATGGCTGTTTTGCTTTCTGACTGATATTTTATATTTTATAGTATCACTCGTGATAAACCACATCAGAATTCGGATGTGTCATTTCC